CTCTTCTAATTAATAAGGCCCCTACATTATGGTTACTGTATAGTATGATATACCTCCTGCTAAATGCCCTGCAAAAGCCCAAAATTCACCCGCACGCCACCTGCACAGAGTCACTGTCGCTGCCGGCTTCAGAGCTGTCACTGTCCACCTTCTTGCGGTTTAGAATCTTTCGAACTCGTAAGATTAGAATGTTTAGAACTCATAGGAGTGTCGTATCGACTCTTGCAAGGGCTCTCTAAACACGGATTTTGAGAGCCATTGAGACCCTTACAAGGATGAGGGTTCGTCAGACTCTTGTGAGGATGTTGTAATTTTTCGGTGGCTGTTAACTTAGATAGGGCGCTTAGGTTTCTTGCGAGGGTTTCTACAAGGGTCCTCTGGGGCTTTACGAAGGCTTTTCGGGGTTAGGGCTCGATTGGATCGGGGGTTTGGGTCAGGGTGTCTAGCGTTTGGGGGCATAAGGCTGTTAGGGTTAGGCATTAGGGTGCAAGCATCACGGAGCGACGGTTTCAGGTTTCTTCGGGCTGTCATTTTGAGAAATATGCTCTGGGTTTGGGGATCACGAAATACACTGCAATCATCGCACGCGATATGGCTGGATAAGAAATGCCAGCCGGACAGCACCGAAAAGCCGTACAAAAAAGGGCTAGCTAAGAAATGAAGGGCACAGGCAGAAGCCAAACTATCTACGAAACGTGGGGGGTTACGTTTCTCAAATTGGTGGTTTCCATACCTTGAAGCTGTTGTAGCGCATACGGAGGTCGCACATGCATGTTCAACGTGCATGAGGAGGTCGCGAAGCTGACGAAGGATCGATCCGTAGAGTGCTGGAGTGCAAGCGAACCTCCTGATGCCATGTCATGGGCGAGTTGCAGGCATGACTGTGTCTGTTTCGGCATGAGGGACTCAGACATCGGCAGATTTCGGTATCAGCCGGCTGGTGGTCGATCGGAGGTAGATGTGAACATCTGCTTTCTGGTCATATGGGGATATGTGGGGATTATGAAGGAAAAGCACTACGACTACGAACTGTTCAGAGCCGTGTATATAGCGAAGTGAGCTTCGACTCTGAGCGGGGTTTCTGAATCTGTGAGTGAAAGCCTCGTCTAAGCTGTACCTTCCCAGAAATTCTGGTAGTTAGGCTGGTGGTGGGGATCTGGCGGGCATTCCTTGAATCTTTTGGTTTCAGACGGGGAGCAGGACGTTTCTTTTCAGGGATTTAGACCCTAAACCCTAAACCCTAAATTCAAAAACCCAAAACCCTAAACTCTAAACTGAGCTCATCTAAGGCCTTCACTGGCGCTGGAGAAGGCGGATCTGCGGCGCGGGCACCTCTCTGTCAAATGGTAGCACTTGGGGGCCGAGAGCGCTTGGTGGGTAGAAAACTCCGGAATATCAACATTATACAGGGGCTACAAAGGGCTCTTCGTACCACAAAAATCCGATAGGATAGGACCCCTTATCAAACAAAAGCGGCAAACAAATGCAAACCAACAGAGCCGGTAGATTATAGTAACATCGCATGCTTGTGTTGTTCATGTTCGTAATAGAAGGACTATCTTGGGGGGCACTAATTCTTGCCGTGTAGCTTAGTAAAGGTATATGACCACGAGCTGCCACTGTTAGAGACTAGCCAGACCCCACTGCTAGAGGAAACGGCGCTCAACACCCGAGAACAGGAGTGCCTCGTCTGTGCGCACCTCCGCTGCGACGCGGTGGCGTTGCTCTCGCACGGGCGCCGCGTGCACGTGCCGGTGTTGGGGCCTGCAGCTAAGGCTTTGGGGTTTAGGGCTTCGGGTTTGGGGAATCCAACTGTGCGCAGGGAGGTTTCGGGTTGCGATGGGGATCCGGGGCCTGTGCTGCGTTACAGTGCTTGAGAAAACGAGTTCTTAAGGCTTTATGTCTGGAGGCCCCCAAAGCCCACACTCCTTAAGCTACATAACTCTAAACCCTGCACCCTGCAAACTTCTCGGGGCTGCGAGCATCAGTAAACCAAGGATCAGCCCATGGGAGTTCACAAAGAAGAAGGGACCCCGTGGGTGGTAAAACACGTCAATGGCAATAGATCCTTCATGGTGGTAAATTGTAGTGGTGGTGGCAGTCTCATTGGTACGCTTAGTAGTCTCACTATCCTTCGTAATGAGTATGTTCAGCATTCTTTGCATTCTTAGTCGTCGTTGTGCTCTGAGTTGTACAAGTACACGCAGCCTTGCATCCTAACACGGAATCTTCAAACATCCAGGTGTGGGGTGCCCTTTCAAGGCCCACAAGAATCCTGTAAAACCCTGCAAGACCCATATGTAACCCATGAAAGCAACACTTAGGATACACTTCAAGGATGGGGTTGCCGGTAGGTTTTTGGGTCAAAAGCTGACCGAACCAACGATCCGCCTGGTGCAATGCCAGCGATCCCTGACCTTGGCGCATCTTCAGCGTTTCAGGCATTGAGGTCGGAACGACTCGCAGTTGTATCCCCTTGTGGTTCCCACACATCTATACCAGACTTTGCCTCATTCTAATGATCACGGCCACCAATGTTAGGTTTCAGGCTTTCCGGGTTTAGGCCTTTGGGGCTCTAGGGCCTCCTAAATAAGCTCCAGAATCTAGCATCCTGGACCCGTTGAAGGTACAGTTGTCCAAGAAGAGGGAAGTGAGGAAGCCAGAAGTAGCGCCGCAAACTTCACACTTTGGTCCCGGCAATCCCTTTAAAATCATCGCACCCAATTTTAGAGTTCAGGCTTAGGGTATTGATGAGTTAACGTACAGCCGGAAGGAGGAGACCCCCAAAACAAAAGCACATAAGGGTAATATGGTACCTAGAGTTGGGGTCGGAGCATGAGAATGTACTTGTACTTACAATATGGAACATTCCGACTCTGAAATTAAAGCTGGGGGACCTAGAAAGCACAATGGATCAGAGCTCCGTGGGCAGGTTGCCGATCAGGGCTTACGTTGTGGGTGTCGGGCTTGTCGGATTTAGGGTTTAGGGTTGAGATTGTGTGGGCCCGTTGTAAGCCTTTAGGTCAAGAGTTGAGGGTTTCAAGGTTGGGCAAGAGGCAGGAATGTCATGGCTTGAAGAGTTTAAGCTTGAAGGTTTGGGGCTTCACGTCAGGGGTTCAAGGTTCGGCTCAGGGTGGGGGGATTTCGCGATTTAGGGTTTAGGGCAAGGTTGAAGGTTCAGGATATGGGCGCAGGGCTCCGTCTTCGGGTTTAGAGTTTAGGGCTTACAGGGGTTCCGGTTTAGGGTTTGTTTTGACTTCAGCTTCATCAGACAACGAAGAACTAGCGTTCGAAGCTCCGCCGAGGAACCTGACTGTTCCCTCAACCCGAAACCCCTCAAATACTAAAACCCGAAGCCCGATACATCCTAGGAGCTAGGAACCTTACCCCGAAAAGCAACCCTGAAACTCTAGCCTAAAACGCATGAATTCCCACTCCAAAACCTCAAGACCCTCAGAGCCCATGAAACTCCCTGAGATACCGACCCTGAGGAGACATGGCTTCGCTGTCATTGCAGCTTGCCGCGGAGACGGTCCTCGAGGACCTCGCCGTAGGGTTCCGGAAAGAAGCCCTGAACCCCAGACGCTAAACCGCTGCACATTCGCGAAGAATTCCAGGGTCTCCAGGTGACACCAGGTTTGTCGGGCTGGGACGCTCGGGTTTATGCTCTAAAAATGATTTAGGATAGGGCTCAGGGCTTTAATTTTCGGGTTCTGGAAGCCCGGGTACCCTAAACCCCAAATCCTAAACGGCCCTAAGCCGAGGGGTTTGGGTAGCAAGAGTTGGAAGGAAATCAATGCAATCGCGACAGGAGTCTCGTGGGTTTCGGATGTTCGGACTCGTTTTAGTGGGTTTAGTGGTTTGAGTCCCCCGCCGAAGGATTCTTGTACAGCCTACTGCAGGCCTTAGTCTAGTCACCTGCGAAGGCCGGTAGGGGCTTGCATCTCTTTGGGTGCGCCACTTCACACCGCAGAGCAGAGGCTCCTTGCCTTCTTTGCGACAACGATCACGAGGCCCAAGGCCTTCCTTTGCGCGCTGTCGCGCCCAAGCCACGGAGTGGTCGGTGTGCGGTTCGTGAAGGAAGCAGGCCTTGTCCATCGCAAGCAGCGTGTACGTGCTCATGCTCTTCGGACGGGCCCGCCAGCATCTACACATGCGTTGGACGTGCGCAGTCGCTCGCTGCACTCCCTGCATCCAAGGGTTTGGGGTTTGGGGTTCAAGGCAGGGTTGTGCGGCAACAGCGGCCAGAGCTGAGCAGAGTAGGGCTTAACTTAAAAGCCAGGGTTTAGGGTTTCAGGAGCCTGCGCTAGAAGCAGGCAGTAGAAGGTGTTGGGGTACACAGCAGTGCTTAGAGTAGGGCTTAGTGCATCTTCTGCAATCATAATCATCCAAGATGGGCCTACGATAATTACTGCATGCTGAAGCCCTAACACTAACCTGCAAGACTAAGACCTTTCATCCCGCCCCGTAACCCCTATTCCGATGTGGGCTCCCTTCTGCAGAGGAGCTCTCGCAGGAGATCTATGCGTTTACGATGTCGTGCAAGCGGCAAGCGACCGAACAAGCCACAATTAGGGCTTCGGGATGGGGTGAAACTCGACTTATATCATCAGAACAAAGAACCCAAACCTGCAATCAACTCCCGATGACTGCTGCTATAGGTCGTCATGGTGCTGCGCTGGCTATGATGCGGCTTTATGTGATTTTGTAAAGGGTCTTTACAAGTAGGGGTGTAGAATTTCGGGGTTTCGGGCCTTGGGGACCAGCGTAAAGGCTAGAGTCAAGGCTCTGAGGCTTTGGTTTTGAGGGCGTCAGAAGTTGAGCTTCTGGGATCGGGGGCCAAGGGGCTAGGCGCCAAAAACTGTAGGTTTAGGCTTTAGGGGTTTAGGGGTTTAGGGTAGGTTTAGGGTAGGTTTAGGCCTTTAGGTTGCAGGGCTTCGGGGGCTCAGGGCGCAGGGCGGCAATGATTCGCACCAAATTCTGTAACCCTAACTCCTGGC